GTTAATCCTATCGTCATTCATCACTTTTCACCAATTAGATAAAATTGACCACCCCCATCGAAGACTGATGTCTAATTAACTTTTAAGTCAGTCCAAGGCTTCCCTCTTGTTTGGAGAGTGGGGAGTCTTTCTTCTTGACTCAAGCAGTTTAGAAAGTTGAGGCGGAGGAATCCATAGGGAAAGATAATTAGGATGAGGAGGGGACAGAAACCCACTCCGAACGAATTGAAGCACTAATGGATAGACCACCTTGTTCACTTTTTGCGGCATATCAATCCATTAAAATCCCACAGGTTTCATAGACTCCAGATGTCATTTCTCTTAAACACTCCCCAAATCAGCTTTAGATGGAAAACTGAGTAGCTTAATAGCAAAGTAACAATTGAATGAGGTCAAAGATAACGAATGCAATAATACAAGGTACATGACCGGCAGTTATTGGTTCAACCCTATTGCCATTTTTAAGGTTTCTGGAGTGTGATAATTTTCGTTTCCTTGAGGGAAGATTATGCTTCTGTTTCATGAGAAACACTAAAACAAATAAGGTCATGCAAGTATCCACTGCATCCTAGTTAAATGAGTTCCATTTACTTACCTGCTCAAATTACAGCCCCAAATAGGACGTTGTTTGATTTAATGAAAGCATAGATGACAACTCAAAAGAGCAATAATGACAATGGGAAATTTGTGTTAAATAGAACCATAGTGGCCAACTGGCGTATGGCATTTTATATTGAGTGTTAAAGGTGGTTAAACCTCATTTCGGGATTTTAAAACACCATCGCCTTATCTGTTTTTTAATCACATGTCATAAGACAGAACGATTTCCTGATGAAAAATCATGTCAACCTTTCGTGTGGGCTAATGATAGTTGATCTCAATCATCTATCGGTGTTCTACAGTTTATCAATAGTTCTTAATTATCCTTATTTTGTACTCTTTTGATAGAGTAGTTATCGTGCTCATTTACAAAAGCGCAGTTCAAAGGTTAAATGTCCATCAGTTAAGAGAGACCTATCAATGATCTCCCTGCCACCAAACAAAACCTGAACCGAGTATTGCACAACGCTATCCTAATTAGGATAGGAAATTAATGTCCACATTATAGTATTCTTTTATTGGTATTGGATTCGTACCGTCGCGAAAAGTGAGACCTCCAGTTTTCATGAGAACGTGCGTGATAATCGACACTTACTGTCGATAACTGCACGAGCATTCATTATGGGTGAACTTCAATGGTAGGATTGTTTGCTGAGCCAATGCGAAAGGTGAAATATACCCAGGCCCAGTGAAATCTGTGCATTTGAATAAATAAACAAATAAATAAATAGATTAATTAATAAGCTATCGATGGAAAGATGAGAATAAGGAGCAACTGTTGCATTCTGCTTTCGAATTTGGCGACAGGCGGCAAAGTTTTCTACTTGGGGCGGGGGGGGGGGGGGGGGGGCCGATGGTGAATGAAGGCATTCCATGGCAACGACAACAGCTGATGAAAGGCAATGTCACCAAACGCCAACAGTAACAAGCAATCCCAACGCCTTTACCTCCATCCCCACCCCCCCTTTCTTGTTTATTTAATTCGTCGTTGCATTCCTTTTCGTTTCCCACCTACACCCTAGACTTTTCCTCTATCCAGATCCAAACAACATCCTCTTCCAATTGGTAGTATTCCTGTTTCCCCTCTTTTGAAACCCCCTCACCCATCACCCCCCCCCCCCCCCCACGTCCCCTCCTACTCTCAGTATTTACCAACTTATCAGGAAATAAGTTGTTATTAAAGCAACAATAGAATAGGTGATTAATGATGAATACACGAACCAAATATGGTATAAATGAGGGAAAGAAGCATTGTTGGGAGTGGAATAAATTAGCCTACTTAAGACAGGCATTTTGTTGAAATTAATTTATTTATTTCAAATGGCAGGCGTTTTGATAATCACCATTGACCCTTTAGCTGACTTCGGGCTTCACAGAGAGGAGGAGGAA